CCATGAACTTTTGTGACCTTACCACCATTGTCCATCTGTCTAGAAGAAGGAAACTCCAACAAAAAACCTATGACCCTTTTGAATATTACCACCATTGCCCATCCACCTAGGAGAAGGAAATGCCAACATAAAATCTGTGATCCTTTGGGACCTTACACTCACTGCCCATCTGCCATGTAGAAGAAAACCTTAAAAGAAAACCTATGATTCATTGGAACATTACTAACATTGTCTGCCAAAGAGTAGGAAACTCCAAAAGAAAACCTATGACTCTTTTGGATATTACCACCATTGCCATTCTACCTAGTAGAAGGAAATACCAACAGAAAATCTGTGATCCTTTGGGACCTTACACTCATTGCCCATCTGCCATGTAGAAGCAAACCTTAAAAGAAAATTTGGGACATTACTAACAGTTACTGCCAAAGAGAAGGAAACTCCAACAGAAAACCTATGACTTTAAAATCATAAACTCATCATACCACCTCAGTGGCCCATGGCATGTAAACCTATGTTTGGTCATACACATGATGCATTTCACTCTACATTCCTGGAGATACAATCACAATTAGTGAAAAACAGAAGCAGGGGACAAGGCAATATGGACACAAAGGATCCATCAGGTATCCTCCTTAATTAACAAATCAACTCATGGAAAAATAAGGACAAGAAAAACGTCAATATGGAAAAAACAGCAGAAAGTACTTTAAAATGAACTGAGAGCCAGCAACTTATTTTCTCATTATTACATGAAATACTGTCAACGATTCTTTGATTTTTTTTTTACTAGGATTTCTTACATTTTCATTTCAATTGCTTTATTTCTGCTAGTAGTAGTATTAGTAGTGATATTATCTGGAATTATGATTAGATCAAACATTATTCATTTTTGACTAGGATTTCTTTCATCCTCATTTCAATTGATTTATTGTAACAAGGAATAGTAGTAGTAGTAGTAATATTATATGGAATTTTGATTAGAGGAAGCATCATCAAGCATTATTCATTTTTGACTAAAATTTCTTTCATCCTCATTTCAATTGTTTTATTTCCACTGGTAGTGTTAGTAGTAATAATATTATCTGGAATTTCAATTAGATTTTTGTGATGTCAACAAACACTCATTGCCACTTTTTTGATAACAACGAATACTCGTCACTTTCGTAATACTCATTGTAGTAGAGACTTTGTAATCACAGATACAACTATCGTATGCCATTGAACAATACTGGTTTCAGATGCCTTCAAATAGCACTTGCACTAATAGTACTTGCTTGATAATCCTCGCTTGAATAGTAATCCATATAGTGAAATAGTATAGAGAATAGCAGTCCATATTGTAATAGAGGATAGTGTAGAAATGATGATCCAAATAGCAATAGAGGATAGACTAGAATGTAGATTGTTAGTTGTCAGCTACTTCCTACATATATGCATTTCCTCTAAGGTCATGTGGTCTACTTAATTCAATAATGGGATCTCCTGTGTTTGCTCACTGGTGATCTATGTTCAAACTCAAGTGTCGGCAGCAACACTTTATTCCTATATAACATGATGAAGCATCATCAAGCCCTATTCATTTTTGACTAGGATTTCTCTCATCCTCATTTCAATTGCTTTATGCCAGCAATGTGTATTAGTAGTAGTAATATTATCTGGAATTTTTATTAGATGAAGCATAATTAAGCATTATTCATGTTTGATGAGGATTTCTTTCATTTGCTTTATTTTTAATAGTATTAGAAAGATATCCTAGTCAAAGATGAATAATGCTTGATGATGCTTCATCTAATAAAAATTACAGATAATATTACTATTAATAATACTCCTTGGAATAAAGCAATTGAAATGAGGATCAAAGAAATCCATCTCTTCTTCCTCTAGCTATGGGTTAAATATCATGTCAGACTAGGTCATATAGCCTTGGTTAGCTACTAGTCTACTTCAGAAAGTAATGGCAGCTATTGTTAGAATTCTCCTGCCAACTCAATCATGAATCTGAAAGAGATGTGTTCACTCGTGTGCATCATGTATGGCATCTAAAAAAAGGCAGTAATATTAACTGGAATTTTATTTGTATTAGATAAAGAAGAGGAAAACAGAACATACCCTATGTAAAAAGCTAGTGAAAATTGTTAACAGGACAGAATTTAGGAAAGATAGCAAAAAGACAAAACTTACTAAGAGCTATGTACACTATTTACATTGTTTGGACTGTTGTTCTCATCTTTGTTGCCATATTCATATTGTTTCAGCCATTGTATGCTCCAGCCTTCCTCAGGTGATTGGAATTTTGAACTGAACCCTTTATTTCTAGTTCCAAATATCATGCCTCTTCTGAATGTCTTAGCTATCTCCAAATTTTTGTTTACCAGTAGCCAGGTATTGAACTCACAACTCTTTGGGTCAAGTCACTGGATCCAACCAATGCTTTTATCCACTGAGCCATGTGTCCTTAAGGACATCAGCATATAAATTTGGGAGATTTATAATCTTAATATCTCAGTTATCATTTTTTACCAAAGCTCATATTGCAATTTTTTGTTGTCATTATTGCTTTTCTCTAGCACTCCGTATTACTGGTTACCATATTGTATTCATTTCTGTGCTTGGCTGGCTTAGATTTTGTGGCCAAGCATATATGCTGATTCCTTAAGTTTTCATATTTTCCAATGATATTCTCTGTCTACAGCACCGTGTCCCTTCAGCACATAGGAAATCATGGACCACCACAATTCCATGTCCTTTGTATCTCTTAATAAATTTTGTATTTTTCTTATCTCTCCTAAACCTGGTTCTTACATCCATTCACTCAAGCACACCAAATAGCTTATGCATTGTTTTCCTCTGTCCATCTTGCCTTCAATCTCTGAGTATCAAATTTTCTAAGTCCTCTTTCCTCATTATGTGTCCTAGAAATTTCAACTTTGTCTTCCTGATGTTAAGTATAAGTGTCTTTCTTACACTATTTACATTGTTCGGACTATTGTCCTCATCTTTGTCACCATATTTATTATGATGTTTCAGCCGCTGTACGCTCCGGCCTTCTTCAGGTGGTTGGAATATCGAACTGAACCGTTTATTTCACTCACTGGAGTAGACTGTTCTAGTTCCACATGCCATGTTTAATGGATGTCAGTTATCAGTTACCTCCTGTTAATTCCCCTCTCCAAGTCCTCCACTGCCTTAACCAGGTATTGAACTCACACTCTTTGGGTCCTGTCACTGGATCTAACTAATGCCTTTATCCAATGTGCCATGCGTCCTTGACAGGACCCAAAGAGTGTGAGTTCAATACCTGGTTAAGGCAGTGGAGAACTTGGAGAGGGGAATTAACAGGAGATAACTGATAACTGACATCCATTAAACATGGCACGTGGAACTAGAACAGTCTACCCCAGTGAGTGAAATAAACGGTTCAGTTCAATATTCCAACCACCTGTAGAACGCCAGAACATACAATGGCTGAAATGTAGTCTGAATAATGTAAATAGTATACATAATACCTCACCTCAGAAATATAGACAGATACTGAAGTGTTATTCTTATTTCCATTTTCTCTAAAATTTTGTCTCTGTTCACATATTTGGCACATGGTATCCTCAGCATCCTTCAGTAGAATGATATTTCTGTTGCTTCAGGTCTGTTTTTCATCTGTGAGGAGGTTGTTCAGCATTCACTGCCAGAAAGAAGGATTGATATTACATAACAGTTCAGCACTCTTTTCTTTGTTTCTCTTGCCTCAAGTCTCTTCTTCATCTGTGAGGAGATTGTCCAGCATTCACTGCCATATAGGAGTACTGATATTACATAACAGTTAAGAACACTTTCCTTTGTTTCTAACAAAATTTTTCTGTTTCTTAATACTTTGCTTAACTTTTGGAAGGCATCTTTTCCTATCCGAATGCGACTTTGGATTTCAGTGTCACACTTTCCGTCCTCTATTAAAACAGTTCCAATATAGTTGCAACATAAACCATTGTTGGGCTCAGTGAATCATGAACAAACCTACATGTCTAAGGAAGTTATTGCAACCAGGATAGTCTAGCCCCTAGTGAACAGGTCTGCCATTATTATTATTATTATTGCCTGCATATGGACAGGAAACAAATTCAATGAATGCACAAAACTAAAAGGAGTGTAAGATAAGGTTGTCTTCTTAATGGACTTATTCAAGTTTAACAGTGAGACAATCCTGAGAGAATCAGAAGTCCTACCAGGATTTGTTATTGGTGGCCATAATCATAACAACATAAAATGACACTGCGTTGATAGTGGACACAGAAAGTAAACTACAGGAACTCATAGAGGAGATAGTAAAGGAAAGGGAGAAGAAAGGACTAAACATCAATTGCAAGAAGATAGAATGACAGCAAATGGAACAACCTAAACTAAATTTGACCTCTGAATAGGAGGCACCAAAATCAAGCAGGGACAACTACTTAAATATCTAAGAAGTGTTTTAACAGAGGATGGAAAATGAAAAAGGTGTATTGGTATCGCAAAAATTGCCTTCCAAAAGCTAAGCAAAGTATTAAGAAACATTTGTAAAAAGATTGTTCAGCATTCACTGCCATATAGGAGATCAAATATTATATAACAGTTCAGCACTCTTTTTCTTTGTTTCTAATCAAATTTTCCTGTTTCTTTGCTTAGCTTTTGGAAGACATGTTTCACTATCCCAATGCACTTTTGGATTTCAGTGTCTATGTTATGAGAATAAAAATTACGTTGTATTTTTATTCTTATTAGCTGAAGTAATATCTTACCAAAACTTATTCTGTATTTCCAACCTGTGCTCTCATAAGGATCTTATTACTAAAATTATACAAAATTAACCCATACTGATAACATCTAAAGTTACCATGTAATTTCCACAGGTCGTTGTAAATAAATAATTCAATGTAAAAAATAAAATCAAAGCTTCAAGGATCAAGTTTAAATTAGGATAACTTACATGCCAGCATGTGTAAGACTTTCTTTTTAATTTCTTTACTTACCAATTGAATCTTGCAAAAAATGAGTGAGCCTACTGTTTCGATAAGGTACATGTGACCTGTGCTCTGCTAAAGCACCAAGGACATCTGCTAAAGCAGACAGACTCTTGTTAATGTGAGCAGTCTCTCGGAAAGCTGCACCTTTCACTCCGGATAATCCTGTTAAAATAAAGAAAAAAAGAACTCATTTGGTTAAATGTGCATTGGAAAATCAAGTCATAATTAAGACATTCAGTCAGAGACAAAGACAAATGCCAGATATTAAAAAATGCACTTAAATAATCAGTGATTTTAAAACTTTATGTAAAAAAATAAATAATAGAAATTTTTGAGTAATATTTTTAATTTAGATGAAGCATCTACATTTACAGAATGTTAATTTTAAGGGAAAAAAAATGACAGAATTCAAAGTTTTCTTTTATTAATGCCATGTCTTGTGAAAGATAACTGAATGGTTCCCAGTTGCCTTATACACAGTCTTCTATTTCTTTATTATTTGTAAATTACCAATACTTCTAGGGAAAGACAGTGGTGTGGCTTCCCATTGTCTTTTCAGAGAATTCTGAATATGCCCTGAATTCAGAATTCTGATAATGAAACTAACAACTGTTTTTATGCATTTCTTTGCTTGAAAGGACGTCTTCAGAATAATAAGGATTTTATCAATGAAGTCTTTATATATATATATATATATGTATATGTATATATAAATAAAAAGAAAGAACAGTAAGATATATAATCTGGTGTTCTTGTTTTTTTATCTTTATTTTTACAAAACAGTGCTCAATGTAAATTTACAGAGCATAAATATTATAAATTAACTGATTTAAAATATGATTTTTCGCTACACAGTAATAACCAGGTTTCAAAAATGGAAGCTAAAAACTTTAAATTTAATTATATAACTAAATTAAAAGCATTAGTTCCGTTTCATCTTCAAGCGACTATTGGAATAACTTATTTATAAATTTATATTTATGTGTGTGTGTGTATATATTTTGGCAGCATATTTTCATTTCGTTGAATAATGTTCTGTCTACTTATTTTCGATAGGTTCCTTTCACATTCGATGATGAGCTTTTGGGTGTCATTATTGAAGGACGAGAGAAAATCGCTGTGTTGATATATATATTTTGTTTATTTCTGAGTACTTTCAACATGGCACAATGTCATCCTCAGGGTAGTGTTTATTAAAGTATATGATTGAGCTGAAGTGTGCAAATTAGTAGGGTGCCTCCTATTAAATAATTTGAATAAGTTTATAGACCTGGGTAATGATGGTCTAATTATAATAGATAAATGTACCCCCAGAAAAGGTGACATAATCCATAAAAAATTTCACTGGATGTTAAAAAAATTCAGATTTAAATTACAAATACAAACTAATTAAAAGTTACTGACTATTTAGGCATTACCCTCGATTTACGTAATGGCACAATTTCTTCATTTAGGAAAAACAACCTACAGCTGCGTTATATTGATGTACGTTTGTGGGTTAATTTAGTTCGCCCGTCATTTGCAAAGACTGAAATGGATTAAAGTGCTTGCTTTCTTTTCCAGTCCTCCACTCTACCAACTGAGCTGTCATGAGTGACCTATTCCTTATTTTTTCATTCTCATTAGTATGCACATAAGCTGTCACGCCAACAAAAGGTTCTGCAGTCTCTCCTCACAGACTCGCTATTTATGCCTGCATTGGGGGCAACTAAAATTTGCATATAAGACTTAACTCTCATTCACCCAAGACTTCCAATTTTATAAATTCAAGCTGGTTTGAATTCTTAGTCTTTTTTTCTTTGTACGTTTGCACGCAATATAGGAATTTCAGAATAATCCATTTCACTTTTAATGCTGGTCGTGATCTTTCAACAGGACCTGACACACCAAGCAAATTCACTTTGCGGAAGGTAAATCTTCTTGTTCCTCACAAGGTTCAAACCACCCAAGGCATGTTTTAAAACATATACCTAACGGAATTATTTATAGATTGTCTACTAATTCATTCAGTGTTAATATTTTTAATCAAAATAAGCAAGATTACAAAAGGGCCTTGGAAAATAGTGGACACAAAAGTAAACTAATATATATTGATACTCATATTTCTCCTAACACACAAGGTAAACATAAAATAGGGCCAGGAAGATATTATGGTTTAACCCCTTTCCTATATAATTTAGCCATTACAACTAAAATAGGAAAAATATTTTTTAAATTACTAAAAAAGAATTTCCCCCCAACAAACGTATTGTACAAAATTTTCAATAGAAATTATGTTAAATTAAGTTATAGTTGTATGCAAAAACATGACTAACTAAATTAATAAATATAATTGGAAAAAAAATCATAGACAAACCACACTCCAACCCCCTAAATGTAACTGTAGAAATAAGGATGCCTGCTCAATTAAGAGCAGGCACCAACAGGAATGTGTGGTTTACAAGGTTGAAATACACAGAAATAAACCTAATAATAGTAATAAGAACATTAAATTTTACATAGGATCCACCCAAGATAATTTCAAAAAGTGTTACTCTAATCATTTAAGTAGCTTTAAGCATGAAAATTACAAACACAGCACCAGACTGTCTATATACATATGGAATATTAAACAGGAAGATGGAATTGACACCATCTTAAAATGGAAAATACTAAAATAAATGCCATAAGCATAAAGCAGGGGACAAGTATTGCTTATTATGTATGGAGGAAAAATTAGCAATAGCCACTTCCAATTAACCAAAGAATTTATTAAATCAAAGACCTGAGATTTTAAATTGGTGCAGGCATAAGAAATCCTGGTTATTGGAATAGAGGCTATGTTGTTGTTTTTTTCTCACATTTTTTTATGCTAATTAGTTTTTAGCAGTTTTATCAATAAATACTGTTTTACATCATTTCCTCTTTAGTCAGATTACCCTGAAGATCTATTTAGGTGAAACCTAGGTAGGTTGTTCCTGGCTCTTTAGGATTTATTTTATTTATCCCAGCTCTACTTAGTGTATTGAACATTCTATGTTTTAGCTTTATTACTCGCTTGGGGTTTTTTCTTTGGACTAAAAACTTAAGACAATGGATGATTTATTTTGCCCTGTTCGGATGTTTCAAGTTCTTTCTTTTTTTTTTTTTTCCTTGGGTACCAATTTGTTTTGATATACTTACAAGTTGTGCTATCCGAGGTTTTATCAACTGAGTATTACTATTAGTATAATATATATATATATATGTATAATATGTATGTATATAAATATAAATGTGTGTGTGTGTGTGTGTGTATATATATATATATATATATATATGCAATTTTTATATATATATTATTTATATATTATATATGTGCATTACTTATTAGAAAGCGCTGAATATCACTGATAGAGCTAACATATTTAGTTGCACTGATGTGAATTTTTGACCCTGGGTTTCATGCCCTTTGTGATTGTGTTGTAGAGTGGTTTCACAGTGGAGGCTTGTATTTGTACTAAGTCGGTCCTAAAATAGGTTCGATGTACAAAACGTTAGGAACTTGATATAATAGGTAATGACGCACAGAAATCTAGTTGTAGTGGCTGGTACTTTAATATCCGACTAACGGTCGTCCGACATCGACTGACTGACCAGCTCCCTGAGCGACTCCTACTACTCTTACTTATTATAGGTGGGAGAGTCTATTAACTATAGAATAGGTGTGTGTTCCACTATAACAGATTGTCAGACAAACTCCATGGCAGGGTTGTAGAAATGCAACAAAATTGTAAAATTGTAACAGGCATATATTATATTCTTACTCTGCCACAAAATGTGGTCTGTCTGAAAAGTAACAGGACTTATCCATTCTTTGATATGAGAGGTATCGTCCACAATGAGTTCTTGCCACAGAGCCAGATGATTAATCAGCAAGTCTACAAAGAGATCCTGTAGTGTTTGGTTTGCACAGTACATGAGAAGAGGTGAGAGTTGTGTCATGATAAATCATGGCTACTTCACCCTGACAATGCACCTGATCACAACACCTTGAGCAGTTCCTAGCCAAGAAGAATATCACTGTACTGCAACAAACTCCTTATTCAACTGATTTTGCTCTGTGATTTTTTTCTTTTCCTCAACCTTAAGGGGATTATCAAGGGGATCCATTTTGAAGACATGGACACCATCAAGATGGCCATAATGACAGAGCTAAGGGTCATTCAAGAAGAATCTTTCCAGCAATGAATAGAAGTATAGCAGAGAAGGGTGGTAAAGTGCATTAGATTCAAGTAGGGTTACTTTGAAGGGAAAACCCTGTAGTTCGTTGTTTCAAATTGAAATAAATTGTTTGTGACACCAGTCTCATTACTTTTCAGACAGACTTCCATCAATATGATCATTTCTCTTTTCCATAACTCTCTCTCTCTCAGTCTATTTTCCTTTTAGGATAGAGACAATAATATCTTTCTACAAATTCCCTTTTTAATAGCTGTAAACTGTACATTGCTATGATTATTCTTGTAAAATATAATGGAGTATTGCATTATTGATATGATTCATGCTATAACAAATAAAAAAAATCTGATCAACATTTAGATTTTGTCCTTACAGAATCTCACATTTCATAATGCAGATATAATTTAGAAACCTAATGTAATTCAAAGAAAGCTGATGTTAAGATGGACTCCTTTATTCAAAACTTACTTACAAGAGGATGCTTCCCCAATCACTACAATCTTAACCTGTTCATGTCTAGGCTGGACCATTCTCTTTCCCACATTACATTTCCCCATAAACTGTGCATCTTACTCCATAACCCTCTACCTTGAGTGGCTCTTGGGCATTGTATAGGGTGAACATCATATAAAAAAAAAAGAAACTTGGGAAGGCATTTTGTTTTTGTCTGTGACTCATATCATTTCTAGAAGCAAAAATCTCAACAAGTTCTAACTTGAACACACCAGGACAGATGCATTCCTTCAGCTTTCTTCTTTCTGGCTAATTTAAAATCATCTGCTCTGCTTCTTTGTCTAATTACCATAAACTTACAACTTCTGTACCGAACTGAAAAAAACTTCCTGTGTGTTAAATTACAATCCCAGCAAATACTCTTTTAGATTTTGTTCTTTTTATTTCCTACAGTTGAAATAGCGGTCAAAGAAAAAAATAAATTCTGGTATCTGAATAGATCAATACAA